GAGCAGGCGGCCATTTTGTTTATCCGGTGGCCATTTTGAAACCACTGATCAGCTGTTAAAAAATCATCGCTTTGCAAGAATCGGTTCCTGAAGCAGGGAACCAATCATCGCAAAGCGAAATCCCCCCATAGGGAACATCGTTTTGCAATCGCTTTTGCGATCGCAAAAACATCGCCGTCAAGCGGTTTCGTCGTTAAACGGAGCACCCGTCTTGCGGGGCACCACTGTAATCCTCTTGGTTTAGGAAGGAACTTTAGACTCCTGAAGCTCCTTCAGACTTAGGCAGATATATGCCCTAAAAGTTAAGTAGTGTTGATGGTGGGGGTGGTTGTTATTGTTATTGCATGCCATCTGTCAGTTTTGACTTATGACAACCCTTTCCAAGGTGTTTGGGGTATAACATACTAAGAAATGGCTCAATATACTCTTCTACCTCACTAGCTGTGTATAGGAAATTGATGTATACGCACTTTCTAGAAAGTCAGACAAAGTTTAGAGACTGAAATGATGATTTTGTTGGATTACAACTCCCAGAATCACCCCACTACAATTCCACTTGAAAGATTCTGGATAGTGTCATTCAAAAGGAATATTTATTTATTTATTTATATGTACAGTATCTTAAATGTACATTTACATGGCTCTACTGTGCCATTCATCCTGAAAACATCCAGTAGCATATGTTTGCCTGAGAGTTACCAACTGACCCAAGGACACAAAGTAGGCTTTGTGATTAGAAAGAAATTAGAGTTTTGATCTCCCTGTTCCATACTTTGTGTGCTAACCATTACACTGTATTGACTTTCTTGGTGTCAGTGATTACTTCACCTATGATGCCAGGGCTGAAATACAGTGAAGAATCATGCACAAGTTTGATTGATTGATTGATTGATTGATTGATTGATTGATTGATTGATTGATTGATTGATTGAATTTGAACCCTGCACCATCTGGCAACCAGGCCACTTTGGACGGCTAACAACTGTATAAACAATAATATTAAAACACGCTAAAAATAAATAAATAAATACAAGCCAAATAGGGTAAATTAAAACAGACAGCAATTAAGGTGGTAAAAAGGGTGATGGAGAGGATGACAAAAAGGATGGTAAAAGGGAGACCAAGATCTTAATGCTCCAGGAAAGCCTGACAGAAGAGCCAAGTCTTCAATGCTTGTTTAAACTCATCCAGCAAGGGTGCCAGGTGGATCTCAATGAGCAGGTTGTTCCATAGGCGGGGAATGACCACCGAGAAGGCCCGCTTTCTTGTTCTTTCCCTCCGGGCCCCCTTCAGGGTCAAGGTCCTCAACCGCCCTGCTTGTGAAGAACGGGTATTACAGATAGATTTGGCTGGGAGCAGGCATCCTGATAAGTGCCGAGGTCCTAAACCGTTTAGGGCTTTGAATGTTATCTTCCTAACCTTGAAGTCAATGCATAAAGGAACCAGTAGCCAATGAAAGGCGACCAGAGTGGGGGAGATGTGCTGGAATTTCTTCACTTCAGTTCTTAATCTGGCTGCTGAATTTTGGACCAGTTGAAGTATCCACCTCAACCTCGGGGGTAGCCCCACATAGAGAGCAATGCAGTAGTCTATTCTTGAGATTACGAGTGCATGAATCAGCGTTGTGAGTGCCCCCATGTCTAGATAGGGATGCAGCTGGGGAATCCTCTGAAGATGGAAATGGGCTGCATGGACCACAGATACTACCTGGGTTTACATGGTGAGATCCGGGTCCAGATAGATGCCCAAGCTGTGAACCTCACTCTTTTCTTGGGGAAGAGTCCCTCCCCTAAAGGAGAGGGAGTTTCCCAACCCACTGACGCCGGGTGCCCATGCGCAAGATTTGTGTGCTTAATCTGCAAATGTGTATGTTATGTAAATTAGACAATGTAATTAAGTTGTCCAGATTTGAAGGCCTAGAATATAGTAACCCTATCAGCAGTTCACCAGGGTTTGAAAGAAAAGATAAAACTGCACAGTGTATCACAGAAGTGAGTACACCCCGTCACATTTCATAAATATTTTAGTATATTTAGTATATTTTAATATATAGACGGAAGTCCTGAGGGTGAGTGGCCCTGATGTCAGTGGTTTGGGGAATTCCCTCTCTTTTTTGGGGGGGTGACTCTCACCACAAAGAATTTGGTTTGCAGTCTGGGGGTCCATCTTGACCTGGCGCTTACCATGGAGACCCAGGTAGCGTCAGTGGTCCATACTGCCTACAGTGGTGCCTCGATTTACGAATGTCCCTACCTATGAACATTTCGAGTTATGAAAAGCTCCAGCTGCAAAATTTTGCTTAGACCTGCGGCCGGAGCTTCGATCTAAGAACAGAAAAAGGCAGGGGAAAAGGGTGAGAAATTCAAACTGTTGGTGGCAAAGAGGCTGCTTCTTTGTAGCTCTTTCACCCCAATGGTTAGAGCAGGGGATCAGGGAACTTTTTTACTCCTGCGGTGCAGGAGGAGGAGGGAAAGGCAGGGGCAGCTCTGGATCACTGCTGGGTGCAGGAAGCCAGTGCACTCCCTGGCGTGGGCCTACTCATGAGTAAGGCCCACCAAAGGCATTGGTCTGCTCCTGCTCCTGAGTAAGGCCTGCAGAGGGTGTGGGTCTACTCATGAGTAAGGGCGGCCAAAGGCGCGCGGGTGGAAGGGGCTCCCCCGTGGATGGGGCATGTGGCAGCGGTGCAGGAGGCGGTTCCCCACCAGGGAGTGAGTGGCATCGGAGGAGGCTTCAGTCTGCCTGGAAAGGTGCTGCTTTTTCCTTTTTAAAAACTCGGTGTTTTTCAGAGCTAACTCAAGACCTGAATCTTTAAGCAGGCCTTCCCTCCTGTCAATACCTAATTTATTTGTTATTTTCAATTGTGTTAATGTGTTGTTAGCCGCCCAGAGTAGACTTCAGCCTAGATGGGCAGGATATAAATTAAACAATAGTGTCAGTGTCCAAATTGGGCACAAAGTGTCAATATTTTGTGTAGCCACCATTTTTTTCCAGCACTGCCTTAACCCTCTTGGGCATAGAGTTCACCAGAGCTTCACAAGTTGCCACTGGAGTCCTCTTCCACTCCTCCATGATGATATCACAGAGCTGGTGGATATTAGAGACCTTGTGCACTTCCACCTTCCATTCAGGATGCCCCACAAATGCTCAATAGGGTTTAGGTTTGGAGACATGCTTGGCCAGTCCATCACCTTTACCCTCAGCTTCTTTAGCAAGGCAGTGGTCGTTTTGGAGGTGTGTTTGGGGTCGTTGTCATGTTGGAATACTGCCTGTGGCCCAGTCTCTGAAGGGAGGGGATCGTGCTCTGCTTCAGTATGTCACAGTACATGTTGGCATTCATGGTTCCCTCAATGAACTGTAGCTCCTCAGTGCCGGCAGCACTCATGCAGCCCCAGACCATGACAATCCCACCACCATGCTTGACGGTAGGCACGACACACTTGTCTTTGTACTCCTCACCTGGTTGCCACCACACATGCTTGACACCATCTGAACCAAATAAATTTATCTTGGTCTCACAGGACATGGTTCCAGAAATCCATGTCCTTTGCTTGTCTACAGCAAACCATATGCGGGCTTTCTTGTGCATCATCTTTAGAAGAGGCTTCCTTCTGGGGCAACAGCCCTGGAGACCAATTTGATGCAATGTGTGGTGTATGGTCTGAACACTGACAGGCTGACCCCCACCCCACCCCTTCAACCTCTGCAGCATTGCTGGCAGCACTCATACGTCTATTTCCCAAAGCCAACCTTGGATATGACACTGAGCATGGGCACTCAACTTCTTTGGTTGACCATGGCGAGACCTGTTCTGAGTGGAACCTGTCCTGTTAAACCACTGCCTGGTCTTGGCCACTGTGCTGCAGCTCAGTTTCAGGGTTTGGGCAATCTTCTTATAGCCTAGGCCATCTTTATATATAGCAACAATTCATTTTTTCAGTTCCTCAGATAGTTTATTACCATGACATGTCATGTGGAACTTCCAGTGACCAGTCTGAGAGAGTGAGAGTGATAAAACCTGCTTCCCCTACACACATGAGACTTGTGACACTAATGGGTCTCATGACACCAGGGAGGATAAACGGCTACATGGACCCAATTAGGACATTATCTCTTAGGGGTGTACTCAGTTTTATCGCCAGCAGTTTAGACATTAATGGCTGTGTGTTGCATTATTTTGAGGGGACAGCACATTTACACTGTTGTACAAGCTGTGTACTCACTGCTTTACATTGTAGCCAAGTGTCATTTCATCAGTGATGTCACATGAAAAGATATACAGTACTAAAATATTTATGAAATGTGAGGGCGTGTACTCACTTCTGTGATACACTGTATGTCATCTTCTTATTAATTACACTGTATCCTATCTCTTCAAATTTTCCCAGCTCATCCATGTAGCTAATGACTAAGTAAAGGAACGAAAGAGAAGTAACTCTCAATGAGCACAGTGCCACTTTCTGGAATGTTCCATTCAAATAGGTCCAGAGCCACTTCAACACAATACCTCCAGCAACCAACCCAGACATCCTAACTAAAATACTACCAGGGTTGATGATACTGATAGCTGCTGACAAGTCCAGATGACTCGACAGCATCACATTTGTCTTGTCTTGTCTGCCTGCTGCAAAATTTAAGTCACATGATGCCAAAGCAATTTCTCTTATAAATCCTAGCCTCCAGGCTTGAATAAAATGGATCTAACCAGTGTTTTGAATACATGTGTTTTGGGAGATAGCTGGTGACCACTGACTTTGTATCTCTTGGTTCACATAGCACTGGATTTCATGCAGATATTTTAAGATGAATTAAGTTTTTTAAATAAGTCTATCTTTCTGACATTTAAAACTGTTGATTATCATCACGCAGCTCGGTCAGAATTCTGTTCTGTTGTATTTTTGCTGTACTTATTAGAGGCTGCACTGACCTTAAGCAAAAAGTGGCTATCACATTATTTACCTGAGTTTATTTTTCTGCTGAAATTTTGTCATATATTTCCTCAGTGTCTTGAACCGAACACCTGTGCATCTGGTCCATGAAATCATATTGGTGGATGACTTCAGTGATGATTGTAAGTGAGTCTCTTGAGCTTGAAAATGGGTAGAAAGGGTGTGAGGAAAACCCTCTTCTGTATGTACATATTCATACTCAGTTCAGACTCTAATTTGGTGTTTTGAATCCAGCCCCATATTGGCTCAGGCTGATGTGGACCTGATTCAGTCTGATTCAGGTCCACATCCAAATGGAGCTTCCACTGACTTGCACTTGGAAATGAGAACAGCTTTAAGTTCGGAGCTTTTTTTAAAAAATGTATATATTTGACACTGGGCCCCATCAGAAAATTTTGTTCTATTTCAGTCAGATAGTTCGTGGACTTCTCTGGCACCCACCCTTGAAGTTTTCCTTTGGGGGGGGGGACTTTTCTCCCCACTCTCCATACATTAGGTCGGCCAGGTATGAGACATATGTGTATGAGAGGTGTTGGCTAATAATCTTTAAATTTTATTTTTGCTCTGTATTCGGTCTTTTCAACAAATTGAAATCAAACTGAACTTTAAAATCTAAGGTCAAAATGAGGTGGTGGTGGTGGAGATAAAAGAAGTACCACTGCCTAAGGCACATCGTTGAGGCTAATACAAACACACAGTTAAATTAAAAAAAAACATTTAAAGAATAAGAAGGAGGTGAGTCGATTAGGGAATCATTGGGAAAGGGAGATTGACATTTGGATGCCCTTAAGATGAACAAAAGAAAAGTACAAGGTAAAGTAAGCACAGCATTGCACTAAACCCAAACAAGACTCTTTCAAAAACTTCCCTCCTGCTAAAAGACAGTGAGGAAATGAGCAAAAGATTGTGTTACACCCGTTGAGGCAATTTTTGCCCCACATGGGAAAATTAGAACTATCAAACAACAAAATTTGTTTCTCCATCTTCCTCTCTCATCTTCCAACCCTAGTGCTTTCTTTATGTGATGCTTGTTTATAACATTTTGGGTACAATCCAAAATCTGCTTTATTTTTAGTATCCAGATCACCAAATTGAATACAAAGCAATTCAGACCCATCCAGATCCTATTCAGACTTGATCAAGAAGGACCTAAATGAACCCAATTCGATATGGGATTGGTCTGAATCACTTGCACGGCCCTAATTGTTACCTAATTGACACCCGAATGACCAAATATTCCTCTCCAGCTGTGTCATGGGGACATAAGTGTATATGATCAGATTTCTCGATACTCAGGTACTGTCATTTTGTCAGTTGACTGTCCTGAGAGCCTGCAAATGTAAATAAAAATAAAAATAAAATGCCATCAATCTGTGTTTGTGTTTCCCAAGCTGATGATTGCCGTTTGCTGATCAAGCTACCCAAGGTGAAATGTTTACGCAACAGGAAAAGAGAAGGTAAGCATGTGATGACCAGCTTGAATTGAAGGAGAATGAGGGAGGAAAAGAGCAAAATGAATGGCTTTCAGGGTTGAAACACAGCAAGATGGGCTTTAGTTTCCACCTCAGATGTCAGAGCAGAACTGAGAGTTGTGCTCCGTCTACTGCTAAGAGGGACCACCACTGCTCCCCGCTCAAAGAAGGACCATGATGGCTGCTGTTTTACTGCAGGAGGCGCCAACCATAGCAAAACTGTTTGGCAACTCTGCTTTGTGGAGAAGTTGCCTAACCAGTATCCCACGATGGGAAAGTTCCCTCATGGCAAAAGTGAGTTTTCTGGAGCAGCCAGCTGGCCCCTTTTTAGATCTGAGGATAATGGTTTCTCCTCTCCAATAATATTTTGTTCTGAGGAATGACCCCCATCTTCCCCAAAGGAAGCACTCAGTTTTTGGAAGCTTTTTAGTGAGCTCTACTAACTGATTTTTGTGGCCAGCACCAGTCTCTAAATCCATATAGTTTCAGTGATCATCAGTGCTGCAGCAGGGGGCACTTGTTGTCCTTTATGAGGCGACAGGACCCTTTGTGATTCCATTGATAGTTTTATCAGCAAAAGGGGCTGCATTTAAACTTTGGGGTTATAATGTGTTTGGCTCCTGTTCTCCTGCAGAACTGGTTCTTCTATAACAATTTTACTTCTGTACTTTTGGCTAATGTAGTGCTCTGCATAGCTTCAAAGACTGTGTTAATTCAGGAGAGAGCATGACTCCAATAATAGGTGTTCTGCCTCCAATATGGCAGCAACAAATTGCCTGCATCTTTGATGTTTTCTCAATTAGTTTCACAGGTAAATGAACAAAGTAAATGTTGTAGCATCAATATATAAAAATACGTAAGCATTTGAGATAGTTTTCCGATGTCTCAGTATAAATGAAGTAAAAAAAATGTAGCTTTTTTAAGACAGTTCTTTGAAGTCCATGTAAAACTGGATTAGACACCCATACTGTATTAATACACATTTTTCACCCACCACCTCAGTGATGTTCCATCCACATTTTTCTGTGTAAAGCAGTTCATCTAGCAAGTAAATTGAAGTATGTTCTAGTTCCAAGGACATATTAATCGATAAAGCTAATATCACAAATAGGTAAAGGTAAAGGTTCCCCTTAACAATTTTTGTCCAGTCGTGTTCGACTCTAGGGGGCGGTGCTCATCCCCGTTTCCAAGCCATAGAGCCAGCATTTTGTCCGAAGACAATCTTCCGTGGTCACTTGGCCAGTGCGACTTAGACACGGAACGCTGTTACCTTCCCACCGAGGTGGTCCCTATTAATCTACTCGCATTTGCATGCTTTTGAACCGCTAGGTTGGCGGTAGCTGGGACAAGTGACGGGCGCTCACTCCGTTGCGTGGATTTGATCTTACGACTGCTTGGTCTTCTGACCCTGCAGCACAGGCTTCTGCGGTTTAGCCCACAGCGCCACCACGTCTCCAATATGACAAATAAAACTGTGCAAAACAAGGAAGGGATGTGTACCTGGGTTCCTTCAGCCTGGAACTGAGCCACAGTTTCTCAGAAGATTTTTTTAAATTCTTTTCTTCTTCTCACTCTTCAAAACAGATGGCTGAAATTTTCCATATTCTTTACTATTGGTTTGTATTGACTTGTTTCCCACCCTCTTCTCCAAACCACCTGGCAATGTCCTGAAATGACACAATGTTGACCATACAAATGGGCTATGTTGAGGACACAAAAAACCCTTAGGAAGAAAAAAAGAGGTTGTAATTCTTCCCTTGACAGAGTGAGGTTTACTGCCAAAAAATTGCTAGAGCATTTCTTGCCTCTCTGGAAAAGCTTTATTGAAAGGTCCTTCTTCTGTTTCTCTTACTGTATATACTGTATATACAAAGAAGAGGAAGAGAAAAATCGAATAAGTAAATAAATATATAAATATTCTGAGCGCCCGTCTGCCCACCTTACTCCACTTATACCCCTTTGCTTTTCTCCTGCTGTCATAGTCTCAGAAGCCTCCCACTCCACAAACCTATTGCTACCCAGCCTGCTGACAACTACCTTCAGTCTTTATGGTTCCTACATCTGTGTGGACAGAGAACTGAGATGCTTACGAGCCATCTCTCACTCTAGCACCAGGCTGGGAGGTGGTGGCTATTCAAATGTTTTGGGACTACAACTCCCATAATCCCTCACAACTGTCCATTGGATGAGGTTGATAGTAGTCATGGATCAAAAACCCCTGAAATGCCACATCTATTGACTCCTGGTTTAGAGTTTATTGTCTTATTTTTTATTTATTCATTAGATATATATCTTTTACCTTTATCTTAATAGATGGGACTTGAGTTTGCTAACACTAAGATGAATAAAACATATTGGAATGTTTTATTCCAAGATGTTTAGTGGAAAACATAATACTGATTAATTAAAAAAAAACAAGTTTAGAAACAATGAAAAAAATCTGTTTACTTTTAATTGCAGCTATTCTGGTTTGGACCAGTTACAACTGGGCAGGCATTTGGATTCTGTGTCTGAGCCAGTTTGAACCAATAGGGTATTCACATTCCGTTTCCATTACTGATATCCAGACATCAGAGGAGCCTGCTGAAGGTTATTACTTTTTCCACATCAAAGTTTGGTTTGAATTAAATAATCAATAAACACTCAATTTTATATGTGTAATGGATATTTATTTTTATGGAGGCTCTTTAAAATCATAAGTAATCAGTAAAGAGGGGCCAATACAAAATCGGAACAGCCACAGTGGTGAGTTTATTAAGTGGAAATGTCATTGTAGCAAAAGAATTACATCTCCCGGTTAAGCTAAAGCTGAACATTGTAGTGTAAATCATCAGGATCTGTCTATGGATCAGCAAATTATTTTAAGGAGTACAAATCATGTAACTCTTATATATGTGACTTCTGTATTTTGGAGTACCTGGAGCAAACTGCCTGGAGCTGATTTCTGTGATAAAGTTCTACTAGAATCTTGGTCAGGGGTCGTTCCAGCTCATATTTCTCATGTCTCCTCATTGCTTCTTAATTTATTTCTTCTTTTTAAAAAAGAAACATATTTCATACAAGATTTCCATTGCTTGTCCGCCAGCAATAGATATTTGGAAATAGGTGGTACGATATCAGCCTGATGCTCTTTCAGAATTTAATTGACAACTAGACACTCAAATCCCTCTATAATGTGAGGGTGAGAAACCACAGTTTTCTTCTCTGTACCAATGAGAGGGCAGGAATATTTATTTTTCTGCCGCCACTGAGGAGAGTTTCCACCTTGATGAGAACAATTTGTGTGCAAAATGCACACATCGATGAAAACTACTCTTGTTTCATTGCATTGACTGTTAAGGATCAGAATGATTAAGGGGTTTCTTTTTGTTTTCTGGAACAATTAGCCAGTCCTTCTGTGCTTCATGTGTGTATATATGCATGTGCATTTTTCAGAAAGGGACACCAGTTTTGTGCAGGTACGTTTGATCAGAAATAAAGAAGGATGGGGAAAGAATCATATAATAGTTGAGAAGCATACAATAGCTGAGTTGGAAGGGGCCTATAAGGCCATCAAGTCCAATCCCCTGCTCAGTGGAGGAATCCAGATCAAAGCAGATCTGACATATGGCTGTCCAATTTTCTCTTGAATGCCTCTAGGGTTGCACTGTTCGCTGCCTCCTGAAGTACCAGTAATTGGTTCTATTATTGTACCAGTTTAAGAATTAAGACCTTTTTCCTGATATTAGGCTTAAATCTGGCTTCCTGTAGCTTGAGCCCATTATTACATGCCCTGCACTTTTGGGATGATCAAGAACACAGCCTGCCCCTCCTCTGTATGACTACTTTTTAAGTATTTGAGAAGTACTTCCGGTTTGAAAAAGTGCTATTTTATCTCCTCTCTGTCTGAGACTAAACATGCCCAGTTAGAACTGCAAAGTTGTGAGGGACGCTATGGATCACTGAATCCAGCCCTGTCAAGGAGCAACAGTGGGGAATCAAACACCCAACCTCTAGCTCCACAGTCAGATACCTAAACCACTGACCTATTGAGTTTTTTGAGTCTTTCTTCATAGGGCTTGGTTCCCAGTCCCGTGAGATCCTTGTAGTGCTCCTCAGAACTTGTTCCAGTTCCTTGGCACCCTCCTTAGAGAATGATATCCAGAAGTGGACAAAGTACTCTAGATGAGACCTAACCATTGTCTCACTTGAAAGTTATCCAAGAGCTTGAAGTTTCTTTGTAAAAATGTCTCATCGTATTGAGACAGGCTGAATTGTAAAGAATGAGGAATTTTCCAAATTCTGCTGGATAGCTCAGTGGTTCACGCATCTGGCTGAGGAGCCAGAAGTTGGGAGCTGAATTCCCCACTGTACCTCCTTGACGTATGTTAGACTCAATGATCCATAGGGTCTCTTCAAGATCTGCGGTTTTAAGATATTGATGATGGTGATTATGTTCTTCACACCCCTACTTTGGAAAGGTAAACTTTATTATGTTTTCAACTCTGTTCAGATTCCAGTTAAAACTAGAACTTAGAAGAAAGATTATGTTCCAATTTAAGGCTTGAGATGATTTTTATTTCATTGAGCTTAAGCTTAACTCTCATAATCATTCTGCATTAGCTGAAATACACATTTATCAAGGACAACGTAGCAACTGCAGGTTTTAATACAGGCTTAATTGAACACATTCCTTATGAAATGACACTAGTCATTATAGCAAATGTTAAATAACTTGTGTCAGGTGTCCCTTCCTCATGCTAACTCTTTGTCTCTCTCCCTTTCTTAAAGTCTTTAAAAATAACACAGAGGAAGATAGGCAGAAATTTGAGCAAGGGTGATGTACACTGGAACATCCATAATTTTTCATGTTGGCTAAGTGGCTTCTGGGCTTGAAAGATTAAAAATAGGCTGCACCACAATGAGGAAGAACATTATCTCCCTAGAATATTTTTACCTCCCCCCCATAACAACATCCTTGCTGGGACACCAGATTGGAAGAGAGA